CGGTGGAGTATCGGTCTTTGCCAAATCGCACCTCGATGTCATGCTCACCTCTGGCGATCAAACCCCTGATCAATTAATACAATCGGTCACGATCGAGTTCGGGAAACGTCCGACCGCCTTCACGCTCATCTCAGTTTACTCTAGTAATTCATCACTCCTACCACTCCTCATACCTTACATCGCTAAACTCATCCGTCAGACCACGACTCCTGTTGTTCTGCTCGGAGATCTCAACATTGATCTGCTCACAACGAACAATGCAGCTGTCCGACTGCGCGATGCTATGCTTGATCTGAACCTCGTGCCCCTTCACCGAAAGGTTACTCGCCCGGCCTCTGGTTCCTACCTTGATCACGTGTGGCTGTCAAATGATGCTTTCTTCTCTGGGCTTACGGTCTCGGTTCTGCGGCGTTATGACTTCTCGGATCACCTCCCAGTGGAGCTCTCTATCTCTGGGGATCGTCGGATGGATAGCCCTGCCCCGGGAGAGACCCGGACCCACCGTGTGTTGAGCTCAGCAAACTATGCTACATTCCGACGCCACATTGGGATGTTCGACTGGTCTCCGATGTATGCTTGCGTGGATGTGGACGCAGCCTATGATACCTTCTCTACTTCCCTCTTCACCCTCTATAATCAGTGCTTCCCTTTACTACCAAGCCGTGCAGTAGGACCTAGACCCACGTGGTTCTCTCGGACTCTGTGTGTGGCACGAAGACGGCTAAAAGCTGCCGGTTGCAAATTCTTCAAACTGGGTCTTCTTGGATCTAAATCAGCCTATTACACCCGCCTCTCATGCTATCGTAGACTTGTCAATTCTGCTCGCACTCAACATACGGCTCGAATTGTCTCTAACCTTGGGCACTCGCCAAAGAAACTTTGGAGCCTTATTAATTCGTCCTGCGGACGAAAGAAACAATCTCTGTGCTCTCGCTTCTTATCAAACCCCTCGAAGGCCTCTCTGGATATCTTCGCAGACTATTTCTCTTCGGTGGGAAAATCCACGTCGGATCTATGTCCTGCCCCTTCCCGAGACTCAGTCACTCTGGAAGCTCTCCTCTCCCGCTTTACTTGTACCGCGAGCGCTCCCTTTGAACTCCGATACATCGACCCCCTATCTCTCCCTAAGCTTGCTTCTTCCATGAAGAGCTCCTATGCCCGTGCGCACACGTTAGTCCCTGCTAAGGTTCTCCGTAACGTCATGCATGACATATCCGTGCAAGTTGCGTTCTTGTTTAATCTCTCTATTCGACACTCGCACTTCCCGTCAGCCTTCAAGAAGTCCACGGTGGTTCCTGCTTATAAGGGGAAGGGTGACGATACTTCCCCTGGGAACTATCGACCTATAGCTTTGTCCCTCTATCTATCGAAACTCTTTGAACGCTGTGTTTTGTCGCAGCTCGAAACGTTTGTCAGTAGTTGTGGTTGGATTTCCTCCCAACAGCACGGTTTTCGCCCAGGCCGCTCAACCGAGACTGCTCTCCTGGAGATCAAAGAGTTCATTCACACATCGTGGCACCGGAAAATGCCGGTCATATCCCTCTTCCTTGATCTGTCCAAGGCGTTCGACTGTCTTGTACATGCGTCTCTCCTTGAGATACTTCGGTCTCTCGGAATCGGCCCACAGACGTTGAACTGGTTGACCTCCTATCTCTCAGGTAGACTCATTGTGGTATCGTCTGGTGGTATCCAGTCCGACGCCTGTGAGGTTGCCTGTGGGAATCCTCGAGGATCAGTTCTGGGACCATTCCTGTTCCTTGTATACGTAAACACCCTCCTTCTATTCGCAAATTCGCTATCACCAGATCTCAAAGGTGTGTCCTTTGCAGACGATACGAGTATATTATTCAGCCTGGATCGAGCTGACTCGAGCCGCTCTTGTACAAAACTCAATCACTATCTTGAGGACATCTTCTCAGCCTTCTGCTGTCTTAGGTTGACGGTGAATGCATCGAAGACCAATGTACTCTGTTTCACGCCTCCCCGATGGCATTCATTCGAAATACTTTCTCCGATCTCCCTAAACGGAGTCGACCTCCCCCTCTCGCGCACAGCCCCTTGCCTCGGGATAGAATTCGATAACTCCCTCAGTTGGAAACCGCACACGGAAAGACTGCGATCCAGACTATCTTCGCTTGTGTTTTGCATCCATCGACTCCGACGCTTAGGTTTCCCCCGCAAAGTCCTGCTAGATGTTCTTCGTGCAATTTTCAACAGCTCTGTTTCATACTGCATCTCCGTTTGGGGATCCTCCGCCCCCGCTTCCTCTCTCAACTCAATTCAAGTCGTACAAAACAATGCACTACGTGCGGTTTTTGGCCTGCCGACACATACCTCAGTGAGAGATATGTTTAAACATTTCTCTATCCTCACGGTTAGACAACTATATGTCTACAGGTTATCTTGCCTTGCCTTCTTCTCAGTCCACCAAACCGTACCCAACTTTCTTGCGCCGCCTGGTCTTGTTCTCTCTGAACGCCGCTCTCGCCATTTGCTAATTAGAGCTACTAACGTTGCCTCCCACGCCCTCTGTGGTTCGCCTTCACATCAAATGGCTCATGTATGGAATGAATTACCGTATGAACTGCGGACCGCTAGCCTATTCTCCCGGTTCAAGAGATTAGTCATTGTTCACTTGAGACATAATGCGGCCTAGAGCCTGCGGGCCAGAAAGTCTGACCCATATATAATATCTAAGTCAAATAAATAAATGTCAGAAATGATCGTGTCCCCCCTCGGATTTATTTCTTTTCGAGGAATATCGGACCTCTACTCGCCGTGAAAAAAATTGAGCCGCGAAACCCAGCGGTTCTCGAATACTGTCTGTCCAAAGTTGGGATCTGATCTCGTAGATCGGTACCATTCTCATGTAGTTTCTCGTATCCGAATCAGCGTCGGAGACGATTGACGCTTTTTTTCCGTTCGGAGACGTGAGCGTTGCGTCTTGGCGCGGCGTTGACTCGTCCCCAAAGGTAAGTGGAGAGCGAACAAAGAGCGACAATGCTCTCCAACTCATATCCACCAAGATCTTCAGATCCTCTCATAGTCTCTATGCGGCGGTTCCCACGGAATAAAGGGAAAACTCCGGATCCAGAGGTGCGATGCTCTCTCGACTACCACTCATTAACGGAAGATGTTGATTCGATAGAAGACGACGATGCCAGACCCACAGAAGAGGAATCAGAAGGCTCTGTGGCAGCTCCCGCTGGCTCGAGCGATTATTCTGCTGCCGCTGAATGAGTTTCACGGAGTTGGAGGAATCCGAGTAGAATAAAAAGTGAACTCCATCCCCGATAAATCATATCATGTTTTTTCCTCATATCGTGAGCCCATCCAACATCCTGTTATGTTGGGAGTGCTTTCAGCAATCTTCCTTCGCTTTTTCAGACTCCCAAAACCTCAGAAAGCTGTCAAATTACATGGAACACTCATGTCCACCCTAAATCCGATTTGGCCCCACTGTGCAACTTAGAAACCGATCCTGGAGAAGTCGAGAGGGCGGACACGGGTCCCGCAGCGGCGGTGGAATTAGACTTCCACTTGGCAAGATTCATGCCGGCCGAATGCATCCAAGGAACCAGTCGATCGATGAACGTGGTGGCCTCCGGCTCGGAGTCAAAGCTACGCAACATATCGTCAAGATAAACGATGCACCCAGATCGAGCTTGGACTCCGTGTCTACGCGCTTGAAGTGCTCTTAAAGTACGGCGGCGAGTATAAAGCCGCTCGGGATGGCTTCCCAAGCGACCTCTCGCATCTGAAGACACCGGATCCGCTCGTCCTCTGGTCCCTGCCAGAGATATCGGAACAGAGAGCGATCTGGCTGCGCGAGATTGATCGTTATATAAGCCTGAGATACGTCAGCGGATAGTGCCACCGGTCGCAAGCGAAAGTTGATCAAAAGCTTGAGTACATCTGGATTCATGTTCGGTCCTGCATAAAGGTGAGAATTAAGGGGGATCTTTCCCGGAGATGAGGAACTGCAGTCGAAAACTATTCGCCATTTGTCACCCGTCGCCCGCTGGGTGACAACCTGTCGGTGCGGCATGTAGAAACACCCGTCGCGCGTCGCGGGCGCTGAGGGCAACCACGTATACGTCGAAACTTTCCACCGCGTGACCCGAGCGGGCCAACTCAATGATTTCCCGGTCGTATCGAGAGAAGGATTGCGGATCTCTGACCAAACTGCGGCGTTTGGCGATGAGACGATTGCGTGCGTCCTCCAAGTTATTGGCGAGTTTCGTGATGGAGTCGCGCTTGGCCATGGATCGGCCGTCGTAGCTGACACTCTTGTTGAACTGCTTCATAGCTTCCCTCTCCGCCGCGCTGTAGCAATCACCCTTTCGATCGACTACTCCGATCGGTCATCATCCAGTTGCCCGAATCCTGTTGACCGAAAGCGCTTAACCGAAACCATTTGACCGAAATACTATTGAGAACACCGATTGACCGAAGCCGTATGACCGAAGCTGCCTGACCGAAGCCATTTGGCCGAATGGGGCTGTCCTTGATTTGCTCGCGCAGACCGCGAGCCTATTCAAATTTTCAGATGGGAGAGGAAAATCCTCAATGACTGTCCAGCATCATTCAATCACTTCCCTCCCAGTCACTCCATCATGCAGCGATTCGAACCCATCATAATGGACTCCTGATGCTATGCGGAGTCTCCTGCAGCGGAGATGCTCTCGCGACGCTGGTAGGTTCCTGTCGAGGCAAACGCGTGCACCGGAGGTAAATATTGTTGGGATCATGGGGTGACCCATAGAGATGCATAGCCCTCTCCCTTGAGAGTGGAGAGACAAATTCCCTTTTTCTCCGAAATAAAGATAGTCTATGTTCTCACCTCGAGCGCGCGTGATCTACCAGTTAAGAAGTTATAACAGTGGCGACGAAGATTTCAAACGAACTCACGAAACCTAGTGCCGAGTGCCCGCCAGAAGAGGATTATTCAGCGAAGCACAGGATTGTGACTCGTCAAAGCTCATCACCCGAGAAAGAAAATGGCATTCAGCGCCGAGCAAGTTCAACTGATCGTGTCCGCAGCCGTAACGGAAGCCTTGAAAAACTTTCCTCGAGAACGGACCTCAACTTCGGCCCACACCATCATGGAGCACATCAACAGCCGAATCCCGAAGTTCACTTTCAAATCCGACGAAGGACACACCTTCGAAAAATGGTATGATCGATACTCGCCGATACTAGAGGCTGAAGGTGGCGCTCTCGCCAAGGAAGACAAAATCAGATTCATCATCAGTAAACTGAACGTCAGTGAATACGACTCCTTCGTCAACTACATAAAGCCGAAGAAAATCATTGAATTGAAAGCAGAAGAGACAATCGAGCTCCTGAAAAAATTATTCTCCATCCCCACCAGTCTATTCAAGCGCCGCATAAAATCGCTTCGCATCAAGCGTTCCGGTCGTCCCATGAAAGAACTAATGGGTCTGATCAACGAAGCAGCCGAAGAAGCAGAGTGGGGGGATATAACCCTCGACAAAATGAAGCAATACATCCTCATGTTATCGCTCATGAACCCCGAAGACAACGATATTCGTGCCCGGGCAGCGAGACTTATGGAGGAGAACGAGGACGAATATAGCTTTCCAGAAATCATCGACGATCTGGAACATTTCGAACAACTCAAGAAGGATCTCAACCCGACGACTAAAAGCCGCTTCGAGATCAACAAAATCCAAAAAAAATCACCGAGAGAAAACGCTCCACCGAAAGACGAGCAACAACCCTCCACGAGCAATAATTACAAGAAACCGTGCTACAGGTGTGCCAAAACGAACCATCATCACCGAGATTGTCGACACAAGAACACAACTTGTTCGATCTGTTCGAAAGTGGGCCACCTTCCTCGAGCCTGTTTTTCAAATCGATCTACGGATTTCACGCCTGATCGAAATGTTCGACAGATCCGGTTACAACCCAATAACGTCAGACGGTTCACAAAGCAGGTCACCATTAGCGGTCGGACGTTCAGTTTGACTCTAGATACAGGCGCGGAAGTCTCACTTATCTCTCGCCGAATCTGGTCTCAACTCAACAAACCAGCGCTACGCTCACCTACAGTTAGCCTGACGTTGGCCGACGGAAACCCCCTAAGAGTCATCGGAACGTTTCGCTGCGCCGTTCGCATGAACAGTCTCGAATTTCACACCGACTGTCATGTAACAGAAAACTGTGAATTACTCGGGCTAGACTGGATCCAAAGGGACCCAGAGTTGAAAAAGTTTCTCCAAGATCAGTCCAGGAACCCTCCCGCGAGGTCGATTCAATCTGTAATGGGATCCATCGACATCAAGGAAAAAGAAATCCAAAAGAATCTCAAGCGGAAGTTTCCTGAAGTCTTCACCGAAAGCCTAGGGAAATGCACAACATTCGAAGCGACTTTCAAGGTCAAAGAAAACTCCGCACCGAGCTTCAAGAAAGCACGTCCCGTAGCATATGCTCTACTTCCGAAGATTGTCGATGAAATCGAGCGACTCGTGAGCGAGGACGTTCTCGAGCCGACAGCCCATTCCAAGTATGCCGCACCGGTGGTCATCGTCCAAAAGAAAGACGGAACGATCCGGCTCTGCGCCGATTACTCCACGGGATTGAATAACTCAATCGAAGACGACGCTTATCCCCTTCCCACGGCCGAAAGTATCTTCGCGAAACTCAACGGCGGGAGATATTTTTCCCAGCTGGATCTCGCAGAGGCTTACCTGCAGATACCAGTAGAGAGTCAATCGCAAGAACTCCTTACCATCAACACGGCGAAGGGATTGTTCAAAATGAAACGATTAGCTTACGGGGTAAAGACTGCGCCAAGCTTGTTCCAGCGTCTCATGGACACTATCACCAATGATCTACCAGGTACAACCGCGTACCTCGATGACATACTGGTAACCAGCTCGACAATCGAAGAACACGAGGGAAGACTAGCGAAGGTGTTTCAACGTCTCCAAGAGAACGGACTGAGAATCCGCGAAGAAAAATGCTCATTCCTCCGGACGGAAGTGAAATTCCTAGGTTTCATTCTCAGCGGCGAAGGCCGAAAACCAGATCCCGACAAAACGAAGGCGATCGTGGAGATGCCCTCACCGAGAAACATCTCCGAACTCCGCGCAGCGCTGGGCATGATTACCTTCTACAGTCAATTTATCCCGGACATGAAAACTCTGAAAGAACCAATGAACAACTTGCTCAAAAAAGATGCAGGGTTCGAATGGACACACGCATGCGAAAGAAGTTTCCAAAAGATGAAGCAATGCCTCCAATCGGACCTTCTGCTAACACATTATGATCCGAATCTACCAATCATCATAAGTGCTGACGCGAGCCAGAGTGGAATTGGCTGTGTATTATTGCATGAAATGCCTAATCAAACTCAGAAGGCTATTATGCACGCATCGCGCTCCCTTTCCGATACTGAACGCAAATACAGCCAGATCGAAAAGGAGGCACTCGCGCTCGTTTATGCTGTCAAGAAGTTCCACAAATTCATCTTCGGTCGAAAATTCATCCTCAACACCGACCATAAGCCATTACTCTCGATATTCGGCTCAAAAAACGGTATCTCAGCCCACTCGGCGAACAGACTACAACGATGGGCCGTGATTCTCCTGGATTACCAATTTGAAATCCGGTACAAGAAAACGACAGACTTCGGCGAAGCCGACGCCTTGTCCCGCCTCATCGTAGAACAACAGAGTCACCTCGACGGCAACAACGAGCTGCCCGACAAAGTCATAGCGAGCATCGAATTAGACGATGAAAACTCCCTCGACGAAAACATTGCGGCTCTACCTGTAACCAGAGACGAAATTCGAAGAGGGACCTTGTCCGATAGAATCCTCTCTCGAGCCAAAAAGTTCATCGACAGCCAGTGGCCAAAAATCTCTCGCGAAGACGCCCTCTTCGCCTTGTACTCGAGACGGAGTGAATTGAGCATCTCCGGGGGCATCATCTTGTTCAGAAACCGAGTCGTTATCCCGGCCGACCTCCAGAAGGAAGTGCTAACCACTCTGCACAACGGGCACCCTGGAGAGACGAGAATGAAAGCACTTGCGAGATCATACGTGTACTGGCCACAAATTGACGACCAAATCAAGGAGTTTGTCAGATCCTGCGATGACTGTCAGCTGGCCAGTAAGAACCCGGTAAAGATCCCATTATCGCCATGGGAAAAGCCAGAGGGACCCTGGAAGCGAATCCACGCGGACTTTGCCGGGCCAATGAAAAACGTGCATTATCTCATCATCGTTGACTCGTTCTCCAATTGGCCGGAAATCATCCCAATGAAGAAAATCACCACAGCAAATACGATCGAGGCATTTGAAAGCTTATTTACCCAATATGGTGTTCCTGAAGAAATCGTCACCGATCACGGAACCCAGTTCACAGCTCACGACTTCAAAGAATTTTGCCGTAGAAACGACATAAAGAAATCTTTCTCGGCCGTCAACTTCCCGCAAAGCAACGGGAGAGCAGAAAGGATGGTAGATACATTCAAAAGAGCTTTGTCAAAAATGCAACGAGAAGGCACCACCTCCGCAAACATCCAGAAATTCCTGAGGTCATATCGAACGATTCCATCGCAAGCCTTAGACGGAAAAACGCCGGCAGAAATGTTCACGGGGAGAAAGTTCCGAACCGAACTCGACATGCTGCTCCCACAAGCTGAAAAAACCAATGCCATTGCTTCAATACAAACTTCCAGGTATGAAGCTCGAATGAAAAAGAACTTCGATAGACATCACGGAGTTAGAGAGAAGAGCTTCGAGACAAACGACCCGGTGTATGTCCGGATGGAACGACACAACAAACAATATTGGGCCCACGGTAATGTGGAGCGGCGCAACAATGTCATGTATGATGTTGAAGTTGAAAACCGAACAACATTGCGACACGCGAACCAATTAAGACGGCGGCACACTCCAAACCAACACCGCCAAGGAGATGTCTACGACGGTCTCATGCTGGCTTTCGAAATGCCCCTACCCAAACGGAGAACGACAACTCGAGGGAGGGAGGAGACCCAAGTGGAGAAGCAGATGTTCCAGACCCCAGAGCCGATAACACCGATCATTTGTAAGATGGAAACCCTGTGCAAGAAGATTAAGGCGATGGACGGCCAAGCCGTGACCGGAGACGAACGAGATGCGCTCATGGAGTCGATCCGAGCCCTTGAAGAACAAGTAGGAGAAGCTGACCCTGAAATTCGAGCACTCTTACAAGAGACCCAACGGGTCATGAAGGAAACAGACATGAAGGCTGACGACGTTTCACAACTTCTAGAAAACTTGTCGATCCAGGAAGCACCATCTCAACCAACATCCTCCCGGTATAGCGCACATCAACAAGCAAATACCGCGCAGCAGAGCCTGGCAGACGAGATCGCGGAAGCGGTAAGGTCGGCTCGCCCATCGGTGGAAGATGTGGCCACAACCACCGCTGAACGCCCCGCGACAACCAAAACCCGAGGACCGGAAGCTTCAGTTGAAATCCCATCGACCTCGGCCAGGAGGGAACTTTTCAGAAGTGGGGCCACGAGCGATAGTGAAGAAGACCCGTCACCACTAGAACGGTCTATTTTCGATAATCAAGAGCCGATAGCGTTCAAGTCACCAGAAGAAAACCGAATCGCGCTCCCAACGCGGAACAGGAAGCGAACTTCCTTTCTCGACGTAACTCACACCAAATCCCCCCGCTACAAATCTCGCAAGAAATACTGAAATTACCATTTCCAAGTTACCACCAATAATTATTATCTTCTCTTTCTTTTGTCGGGAAGGTGTTGGGATCATGGAGTGACCCATAGAGATGCATAGCCCTCTCCCTTGAGAGTGGAGAGACAAATTCCCCTTTTTCTCCGAAATAAATACAGTCTATGTTCTCACCTCGAGCGCGCGTGATCTACTAGTTAAGAAGTTATAACAGAAAGGAA